TTTTTTTTTTTTTTTTTTTTTTTTTTTTGTTTTTTTTTTTTTTTTTTTTTTTTTTTTTTTTTTTTTTTTTCACACGGAGTCTTGCTCTGTCACCAGGTTAGAGTGCAGTGGTGTGATCTCGGCTCAGCTCACTGCAATCTCCGCCTCCCAGGTTCAAGTGATTATCTTGCCTCAGCCTCCGGAGTAGCTGGGGCTACAGGCACGCGTCACCATGCCCAGCTAATATTTTGTATTTTTAGTAGAGACAGGGTTTCACCATGTTGGCCAGGATGGTCTCAATCTCTTGACCTTGTGATCCGCCCACTTTGGCCTCCCAAAGTGCTGGGATTACAGGCGTGAGCCACCATGCCCAGCTGATAGGCTTGTTTTCTCCCTTGGAAATGAGCTGACTCCAGCCTCAGTATCCCCATGAGCCTTCCCACCTGGACACAGCACTCTCTCTCTCACCTGTAGGCTGGTGGCGTGGGTCCTGCACAGGCTGGAGATGGCCTTGCCGCAGCCAGTGCTACATGGGAAAACAGGGGAACAGGTCAGTGCTGGGCACGTGGAGTGGGGGCCTGGTGGTGGTGGGAGGGGTCTCGGGAGCTCAGGTAAGGAGGAGGATAGTTGGCCAGTGTCCCTGGGGTATGAAGGCACAGCAGGAAGAAGGGACCCTGTAGCAGGAGCCCAGCTCCCCCAGCCTTCCTGTCTGCATGGCCCATGTTCAGTACCCATACTCTCTGAGGCACGGTGGCCTCAGGGCTGAGATGTGCTGGCCCCGCCCCACCTGCTAGGAATTCAGTCAGTGGGGGAGGCACTTTCATGGGGGAACAGAGAGGACATGCGGCGCAGAGGTGGAGGCTCCTGGGAGCATCAGGGAAGGCTTCTGGGAAAGTGGAGGTGGCCTCCAAGCATGTGCAAAGGTCAAAGGTCCAGAGATGAGAGATCCCCAGATTCCGGGAAGAAGTGAGGCTCACAGCAGCCGGCAGGCCCTGTGTGCTTTCCTGATATAGGGCTCCAACATGAGTGGCCGGGGCTCTGTCACCCCTACCTCTCCTTCCCCAAGAACCAGGAACCTGGCCCTTGTTTTCTTGGCTGCAATTGGACGTCTTTATAGAAGCACCTGGAACTAGGTGGTAGGAGGCCTGATCTCTCTCCCGGCTGTGTGGCCTCGGCCCTGGCCCTCTCAGAAGCTCAGTTGTCCCAGTGGAGCAATGGTCAGTTTACAGAACTCTCTACGGACATTCTCATACCCAGGGCTGTGATGCAGGTGAAGGGTTCTGTAAATAAAGCTGTCTAGGCCCCAGAGAAAGGAAGGCCCGGCCAGGTCCTGGGCCTTTGTGTCACTCAAGTGCTCCACCTGGCTCCTCTGAGCAGGTGGCACTGCTGTGGCTGTCTGGGGTCACCCCCATCTTGCTTCACTTGAGCCAAGGCTCGAGCTCTCAAAGCCGCCTCCCCCACCTCAACTCCTTCCCTGGCCCTGGGCACAGCAGGGACTCTCTTCTCCATTCCATAGGACAACTGAGGCCCAGAGAGGTGGTCAAGGTCACACGTGCTGGAAGGGGTGGCTGAAACGGGGGGGCTGGTGAGGATTTTCTTTTTTTCTTTCTCCATGCAGGAGCCTGACTCCCCTGGGATGTGTAACGTGCAGACCAGTAAGTGACACGTGACTGGGTTCCTGTGTGCATGTCAGGCAGGGTTGCTAGGTGTCCTTGGGTCTGACTGTATGTGGGCAGGGGGCTGTCCCGGGCTAGACCTGGACTCATACAGGGCAGTTCGGGTCTCCTGGGCTGGAGCTTAGAGAGCTCTGTGCTCTGCAGGCCCCACCTCTGGTCAGCCTGGCCGGGTAGCCAGAGCCGGCCCAGAGCCAGGTGGTGGCTGGGGGCCCCCGGAGTCTGGTGTCCAGCTTCTATCCCAAGGAAACAGTCCCAGGGCCAAGTCAGATGAGCTCACCTTCCTGCTGGTACTGCCCAGAGAGCTTCTCCCATCCTCTGGCAGCTGGGAAAATGGGTTTGGCCAAGCTGAAGGGAGAAGGGTGGGATCTCCCTGGGGGAACCAGGCCCCACAGCTTCCAGTTCCCTTGAGCTAAGGGGTCCCCCTCACCTGCAGCTGGGTTGGGGAGGTATGTGATGCCCTTTATCTTAGCCCTGAGCCCGGAATCTGGGATGAGGACTGAGACCAGAAATGTGCTGGGGCAGGATCTGTTCTTTCTTCACTTCATGGCCTCCAGAGAGGCATGCAGTGGACAAGCATTCCTTCCCTCCCTCCCTCCCTCCCTCCCTTCCTTCCTTCCTTCCTTCAATACATAGTTAAGGACAGCCTACTATGTGCCAGCCCTGTGATGAGTTTTCATAGTGAGCAGAGTTCAGGGGCTGTGGGTGGTAGCATCCTCTGTTCCAGGCCTCAGGGTGTCCCAGGGCTCTGAGCTCTGCCCTGTGTCTGCAGTGCTGTGTCCGGCCCCAGCCCCACCATGATGGTGGTTTCCATGAGCCCCCTGAAGCTGGGGGTGGCCACCATGGCCTGGAACACACATAGGCCATTGGACTCTGGAGCTTAAGTCTGATGCAGAGACGTGGGGGGCGTTAGGGTTGATGGTAACCATGGCAATGACATGAGGAGGAGCGCTGGCCTATCTCAGAGCAGGGCATGCTCAGTCTCTCATGGACACTCATGGCCAACCTGGGGCGGCAGAGCAGAGACCCTCACGGCTGCTGGGGCAGGCAGGGGGCAGAGCTCAGAGAACAAAAAGCACCTGCCCCAGGTGGCAGAGCAAATCCAATCCACCTGGCCTGGCAGCAGCAGCTGACAGAAACCAAAAAGATTTCCTCGGGGCAGAGAACCCTTAGGGGGTCTGCATCTGAGGACGGAGCACCAGAACCTTCTTCTCTTCCCCTCTGGAAGGAGGCAGAAGTACTGCCAGCTGTGGCCAGGGCCTCCCTGCAGTTCCCAGAGCATGTGGGTTATGGGTGGACACTGGGTAGATGCTGGGTGGCCGTGGGGGCCGGCTCTTGAGGACAGGGCGGGGAGCTGGCTTGGTTTCATCTTCTAGGGCTGCCATAACAGATGTGCACACACCAGGCAGCTGAGAACAACAGGCACTGATTCTACCACAGTTTAGGAGCCAGAAGTCCAGGATCGAGGCCGTGGCAGGTTGGCTCCTCCTGGGGCTCTGAGCAAGACACGCCTGTGCCCCTCTCCTTGCTCCTGGTGGCCACTTGCGGTCCTTGGCTTCTGGCCGTCCTCCAGTCCCTGCCTCCATCTCTACACAGCCTTTACCTCCATGTCTGTGTGTGCCAAGCACTCCCTTTCGGTTCTTTTATAAGGACACCAGTCATTGGATTTAGGGCCCATCCTAAATCCGGGATGATCTCACTTTGAGATTCTTAACTTAATCACACCCGCAAATAAGCTATTTCCAAATAAGGTCACATTCACAGGTAATGGGGTTAGGATGTGGAATTATCTTTTTGGGAGACACTATTCCACTCACGTCCCAGTTCACGGGGAGACTCTGAGGGGCTGGGGGATATGTGTCCCCTACCCTCCCCATCCATTCACTCATCCACTCACTCATTCCCTCCGCCTGTCCACCCAGCCACCCACCCTGTCTTCTCCTTTGTTTCAGGGGTGATGGGAGCTGGAGGCCTCTGAAACAAGGGAGAAGGGAATCTGGGAGAGCTCAGATGGACACATGGATGGATGGAAGGAAGGAAAGAAGGATGTCCTGAAGAGAAGACCTTCGGGGGGGAGGTGGCCACTGACACCCCACCCTATTTCAACAGCGAACCCCTCCCTCTCCACACACTCCCAGGCAGAACAAGGGGAGCCAGACAACTCACTTGCACCAGACCCAGAGCCTCCCAGACCAGAACAAGGAGAAGGCCAGCCATAGGCAGCCTTTGAGATTTAGGCTAGATAGCAGGAGGACTACCCCCAGAGGGCTGTGGAAAAGCCCCACAGCTGGGCGTGGTGGCTCACGCCTGTAATCCCAGCACTTTGGGAGGCTGACGCAGGAGGATTGCTTGAGCCCAGAAGTTCGAGACCACTGTGGGCAACACAGTGAGACCCTGTGTCTAAAAAAACCTTTTTTTTTTTTTTTTTTGAGGTGGCGTTTCACTCTTGTAGCCCAGGCTGGAGTACCGTGACATGATCTTGGCTCACTGCAACCTCTGCCTCCCGAGTTCAAGTGATTCTCCTGCCTCAGCCTCCTGAGTAGCTGGGCCTACAGGTGCACACCACTATGCCCAGCTAATTTTTTATATTTTTAGTAGAGACAGGGTTTCACTATGTTGGCCACCCTGGTCTCGAACTCCTGACCTCAGGTGATCCACCTGCCTCGGCCTCCCAAAGTGCTGGGATTACAGGTGTGAGCCACTGTGCCCAGCCTAAAAAACCCTTTTTTTTAATTAATGAAAAAAGAAAAGCCCCATAGATGGAGGACTCAGTATTGAGCGTCTCTGAGAGGATGCGTGCACAGCCCCCAGTGTGGTACCTGGCACAGTCAGCACCTCGACAGGATAGTGCTTCCCAGAGAGTTTTCTCCCTAGGCCTGGCCATGCTCTCTCCTTCCAAGGCTTGGGGACACCACTGAGCAGCAGCAAATATTTTCATTAACATTAAAAGAGTGTAAATGAGCACATCAAACCTGTGATTGCATGATATTATTGCTTAGGATAAAGCTAAAAGAAGGGTTTCTGTTTTAAACAAGGGCGGACTGAATAGGCCTTGGCTTGGGGTATTGGGTTGCAGAAGAGGAGAAATGAGCCAGGGTTCCTGAGCCGGGGGTCCTGGCTTCCATCTAGCCCGCACGTGTCTTTGGGCCATGGAGTGATTTTAGAAATTAGAATTGGTTGCCAACATTTAAAAATCAGGTAGCTTTACACGAAAAGATCTGGCTTCTCAGAAACTGGGTAGACCTGGGGCTGTAATGAGCCCACACTGTGCTTTGAGGATAGTCTGAGCAGCTGCTGGCACCTGCAGAAAGGTGGCACCTGCCCCTTCATTTGTATACATCATTGCCCTGGCTGGGCAGGCCTTTGTTTGAGATCCCTGAGGTCGCAAACTGGCGATGAGGTGGGGCGATCCCAGTAGAGCTAATGAAGTGTAGTATACAGACAGTGGGGGGACTTCGGCTCATCTGGAGCCCAGCGTCCTTAATGTAGAAGATAAAACTAGACCAGCTGGGGCCTGACTCTAGGAGACTAGGCTATAGGCAATGGGGAGCCATTGAAGGTGATTGAGCAGGGGAGTGACTCCAGAAGATGACTTGGGCTGAGCAAGCATTGGAGACAGGGAAAGCAAAGTAGGGCCCCCTCCAAAGCACCTGGGGCCAACTATGAAGAATGTCCTACCCCAGACTTTCTGATTCAAGCGTACGGGAAGCTGGGAATCCTTTTTCTTTTCTTTTTTTTTTTTTTTTTTTTTGACGACCAAGCAATGGTTATGGAAGAATCTGCTTTCTTGAGAAGTACCTGCCTCTTCAGAGGATTCTGACGATGGGGGAGAGGATGGGACCATACTTTGAGAAACACCCAGCGAGAGGTTAGTGCTTTGGGCCAGTGGGGGGAGATGTGAGCCTGGACCAGGGAAAGGCAGGGAAGGAGGTATCAGGATCCAGGCCTGCCAGAAAGGATGGAGGTTTGGAGTTAGGGCTCAGGCTTTGACAGAGGCCCAGGGGTCCAGGTGGGGGCCTTAGCCTAGAACCCATGTGCCCAGGCTCCTGCCTGCTGATCCCGGAAGCGGGGGCTCCTTCCCACATGAGGCTGCTGACTTCACTGGCCGGGGTCAGAACCTCATTTGATAGCCCTGAGGGCAGAGAGGCAACTGACCAGGAGGTGGCAGGCTAGGGTGGAGTGGCAGTTTCCATGGGAACTGGAGCACCCATAGCTCCTGAGCACCTGGGTAGGGCCGTGGAGAAGCTGGGTGAGCTATGAATCAGACACCTGCAGAGAGGAGCGCTTGGAGCTCCAGGGTTGGGCCAGCAGCTCCTGTACCAGCCTCCTGGGGGCCTGCCCTGGGGGCTGTGTGACAGCATACCCCATCCCTCCCCTTCCAGGTCAGTGACCTTGGGCACTGTCCTCCTCTCAGAGCTGCAGAACTTTTAGCTATAAAATGGGAACAGTATAGGACACGCCTTGCAGGCCCGCTGCAGAGATGAAAAGAGGAAATGAGGCTGGGCATGGTGGCTCACTCCTGTAATCCCAGCACTTTGGGAGGCTAAGGTGGGTGGATCACGAGGTCAGGAGTTAGATCAGCCTGGCCAATATGGTGAAACCCTGTTTCTACTAAAAATACAAAATTTAGCTGAGTGTGGTGGCATGCACCTGTGATCCCAGCTACTGTACTTGGGAGGCTGAGGCAGGAGAATCGCTTGAACCCAGGAGGCAGAGGGTGCAGTGAGCTGAGATTGTCTTGGGTGCCACTGCACTCCAGCCTGGGTGTTGAAGCGGGAATCTGTCTCAAAAAAAAAGAGGAAATGCTTGTAAAACGCCCAATCACTAAAACATGACCTAAAAAGAAAAGGTTAACGGAAGGGAAAGTAAGTGTGGAAGCCAGGGCAACATCAATTCTTAAGGACGGCCGCTGACGCCGGTGAGGCGCTCAAGGGCACATTTGTCACCGGGGACGGTGCCCTGGGAAAACGGGTCAGGAGACCTGGCTCTGCCTCACCTTCCTGTGTGGCCTCTCTGAGCTGGCTCTCTTAAAAGGGGAGAGTACTGTTCCTGCCCTTTGGGGCTTCTGTGAAAGCCCACGTGCTGACAGGCAAGACATTCTGTTCCCTGGATGTTCCCTGCTATGTCTGGGCAGGGACTTGTACCCCAAGGGGCTGCCCAGAGTGGAGACACTGTACCACTGCTGGACAGCAGCACAGACTGACGTGGATGATGCACCCCACCACCGGATTCAGGGTCACACTTGGAGGAGCCTCCCTGGCCAAACCCCAGGGATGTTTGCAGGGCCAGAGGAGCCAGAAGCCACCATGGAAACAGCTAGCTCAGGATGGGGATGCGCTTGGGGCTCCCCTACAGGGCAGGCAGCACCTCATCTGTGAGACAGGGACAATATCCGTACCTAGAAGTGGGGAGCTCCATGCCCGGCACGTGGGAAGCACCCCATAAAAGGAGGTGTTTATCTGTGTCTCAGTATGCTCATCTAAAATGGGGAGTAAAATATAAAAGAGGGAAAATAAAATGGGGATGCTAATTATAAGCTTGAAAAGTTGATGTGGGGACTAATCGAGTTATTCCGTGTAAATCACTCAGCGCAGGGCCTGGCACATAGGAAGTGCTAGAAAATGCAGCTGCTGTTACTATTATTGTGTTATGCAACATCATGAATAATAACAGCCAAAGTCTCAGGATAAGACCTGAGGCCAGCTTCCATTTAAAGTCACCGTTGCTACCACCTGGGGATGGTGGCACATGCCTATAGTCCCAGTTACTCGGAAGGATGAGGCAGGAGGATTGCTTAAGCCCAGGAGGTAGAGGCTGCAGGGAGCCATGATTGCACCAATGCATTCCAGCCTGAGCGACAGAGCAAGACCCCATCTCGACAACAGTCACTATTACTAATTCATGTTTGGCTGAGGGCCACCAAGATCCCTGGAGCTTTTTGGGGACACCTGGTATCCAAGCATTGTCCTTTGTCCCTGACACCTGCCTGGGGGTAGGCTGTTTCTGACGAGACGCCCCCGCACTCCCTTTGAGCATCTGCCAAGCTCACAGGCCCAGGGTGTTTTTGTTGTCAAGGACTCTGCTTCCCTCAGGACAATCCGGGCAACTGTACCTGGATGCGGCCAGGTGGACCTGAACCTGGGCCTTTTGGCATCCCTGTGATGCTGTGAAGCATTGTTTCTGCCTCTGCACAAATCTTTTTTTT